TATCATAATAAAGTCTTCTACATATCATTATACTTATTATATTCTAACAAACTAACATATGAAGCAATATATCCATATGTATCACTCTATATCATAAACACACGTGACGCTACAGTAGAGGAAGTGTCGCTACAATATCTCTCATTTAAGGTCGACGCTACAGTATGTATATAGTTCTCCTAACAAACTTATCTACTTTTATATCAATATATGTATATATAATAACTAAGGAACATAAAATTGACACAAATAAAATTGACGCTACAGTATAGACTATATTGGTATATTTTATCAAATAGTAGTTTACTCATAGAACACCGCAACAGTATCAATATATATTAAATTAGGTTCTCAATCATCTCTCAATTTCAACAATATATCAATTTCAAACACAAACAGAAACATTTTTTAAAACCCAATCTCACGTATCATTCATCATATACCCTATTATAGAGTCAAAACCTCACTCTTACCTTGGATTGAAGGTTGCTCTAACTCTCCGATTGCACCTAACTCTGCCTCCTCTTTACACTTCTAGGTATCTCTTTCAAAATCCTTATTTTCTTCTTCTGCTAAAACCTTTTCCTGTTTTCTTTCTATTGATACTTCTATTTTTCCTATTATTTCTAACATCTATTATAATATAACTACTATATTGTTACTCTTATTTTGCCTTGTTGGGCTTAAATTTCTACACCTCCCTTACTATTACTTCTAACATTAAAATAGGTCACATATAATAATAGTATTATTCAATATTAATCCTACAACTTAATCAACTAATTAATTCAATTAAGAACGACACAACTTAAATCAATATTTCACAACTTCGAAAATTTAATCGGAAAAATATTCGAAAATATTTAATTAAATAATTAATTAAATATTGGACGTTACAGGGAGGACGAGCGGATCTGCTCGCCGTTTGAGACCGATCGGTTCCCCGTATATGAATACGTTTTCAATATATGGGGCTTCGTTTTCTATTCTCGAATCTTTAGGTGGAAGTTCTTGCCCATTTGGATTTGGTGCCCTCACAAATTAATCTGAACTTTTTGGCTTTTACCCGGGCGTTCGATATTGTTTGTGGCTACCTTTAGATTAGGGCCACAGTCCCCCTGTTCTTTTCCTGTTTCCATCTTCAACGGCAGACGACCTCAGAGGGTATGTTCGATTAGGTTTCCTTGAAGAAGTCGAGGAATTTGTTTAATGCATACTCAAAGTCTATCTAAACATTTAAGAACATGTACCATGTGGTTTTGCCCGTATCTCATGAGGCCATCGATTCCCTACTTTGTTGGGAGATTATGATGAATGATGATGAAAAGCCCCTATTGAGCGAGGACGTTAGGCAGAGGAGACACTAAGTTCAGAGGTTCTTCTTTGCCTGGAGTCGAGATCATTTTGACCGAAAAATTGAGGAGTATATTGTTCGTCCGGACGACTTAGAAGAGGATGACTGGGCAAGATACAACAAACTGGTGGCTTTTGTCGACATCTTGATCCCCGCCTAGTGCGTGACTAAGCGCGGGGAAATAATTCTTGACAAGGACATGGAGCCTATGCTCGCAGCTCATCTTATTAATATGAAGGGGCTCCTTGATTGTGCTACCTATGAGGAGGCCCTAACACTTTTAGGTAGCTTTCGTGTTGTTGTTATCTTCTCGTTTGTTTTCTTCATTTTACTGACTTGTCTTCATTGTTTATTGCAAAAAAATGTAGAATGCTAAAGAGCGTATGGTTAGGATGGTAGCATCGAACAAGACAAAGTAGTTGAAGAAAAGTCAGCTTTCGAAGAACGGCCTGGGTGTCTTCGTGGTTCTGCCTCTAACGGGTTCGAGGAACTCCTCTTATACTCCTATTGGGGAGCATCCTTCTCCACAGCAAGTAAGTTCGTCCATGAAGCGTCACTGAGTTGGAGGGGATATTGTGGACTTTACCTTGGAGAAGTCTCCGGACAAGTACGAGTTGCCTCCCTGTTGGCTGCAAAGGAGTTACTTCAAAGAGGGTCCCGCTTTGAAGGTTCTGCAGGAAGAGTCTCTGCACTTGAAGAATATGGATTAACCGAGCAAGAGGAAGACTCTTGTCCAAGATGTTGCCGGTATGATGAAGATATTGGAGCTGGCGATGGTCCATACCAAGGAGGGGACCTCTACCATCAAGGAGGTGAAAGAACTTCGTGCGGCCAATAGGACTCTTCAAGCGAAGGTGACTAAGTTGAAGTATGATAAGAAGGAGTTGGAAAAAGAGAAAACAATGTTGACCGAGCAGATTGAGAAGCTGGCCAAGTTGAACAAGGAGTTAAAGGACAGGATTGCTGCTTTGGAAGTTAACGCGGCCCCAGCTGAGGATGAAACCGATGAGCTAAAGAAATTGAGGACTCGAGCCGAGTTGGTTTCTCGCCTCCGCCGGGATGAGGAGGATTGTGTGGCGATTGGCGAGGATGGCTTCGACAATGCAGTGGAGCAACTGCAGATTGCTAACCCTGATGTTGAGTTCAACATGGTCGGGATTGGGTTCCTCTATAGTGTGGTTGGAGGGCAGATTGATGTCCCCAATTTCCTCAAGCTCAGAGAAGATGAAGGGGGCGAGCAGCCTACCCAAGGGGAGCTTGTCCGTGAAGAGCAACCACAGCCTGACAACTTATCAGTTTCTCTGTTACTTTTGTTCGGCTTGCGTGTCGTTGGTTTTGTAACATTTATTTTAGGTGCTTTTGCCCGATTTAATGTAACATCCAACCAGCTTTGGTTCTTCTGGCCATCACTTTAGTTACTATTGGATGGGGGCTTGGCCCTCCTTATGTAATATTTTTACAATTGCGCTCTTCGTGACTGTTCTGATTTCAATTTGTCCTTTATTTTTATGTATGTTTGTGCATGGTTGCATTTATTACTTTTGTTAAGTTTCACTTGTTTGTATGCTTATCTGCTTGAGATTTCTATTTTGCTTAAGAGTTTAGGTGATTTGCTCAGTAGTATTGAGGTTCGCCAGTGAGGTGAGATTGGCCGAACGGCCAGGGTAGATTTTCAGGCAAGGGGCGGAGCTCAGGTCTTGATTGGGGCCTGAGTTCGGCGGTGTGAACTTCCCATCGCGAGTTGGGTGTTCTACCATCATGGTACAATGACGGTGGTGCTCGTTTGAGTTTTTTTCGTCGGACTAAGAATCTGCTCATTAAAAGAGTTGAAATTTGCCTCTTTGTTTAATTCGAGGTGTTATGCTTGTACATGAGCACACACGTGGTCGGGAATATTGTGTTCGTCATCTTGACAGAGCATGTCGACTGTTTATGTGCCTTAACTGTAAATATTGTTTCAATTTTTCAAGGTTCTAAGGTCGAGAAAGTTGTTCCCCGTGTAAGTTTTCTAAGTAGTAGGCCCCGCCTCCTGTTTTTCCTCAGACGCGATAGGGGCCTTTCCAGTTTACGTCGAGCTTGCCTTCGCGAGAATCTTTGTGATTTCTCTTCAGGACTAGGCTACCGACTTCGAATTCATGTTGTATGATTTTGGCGTCATATCAAATGGAGAGGGGTGGAGAATCCTCTTCTATATAATTTTCCTTCGACCAGGACGTAAGAGTTGGCTCTTCGCCTGACCACGTTGGCTTTCTTTTGGTCGGATGGTAGTTCCCTCTTCGGGAGGTAGTTGTATACTGGGGTCATCCAGCAGTTACTGTCGTTGATGGTGTACACCTCTAGAGACGAGGAGGATTTTTCAATGCTTGGTTGAGGAAGTATTTCCTGTATTATGGATTTGTTCCCTCCTTTCTTCTTTGTGCTCACCAATTTCGACAAGATATCTGCTCGAGTGTTGTGTTCGCGAGGAACGTGTTGCACATCTACTGAGTTGAATTTTTTCATTCTTGCTTGGACCAGAGTCTAGTACTCGGAGAGGTGGTCATTTTTTACCTGGTAATCTCCTTTTACCTGAGAGGCAACGAGTTGGGAATCTATGAAGATCTTCACTTCCTCGGCCCCCCAAATTTTGGCCAGGCATAATCAGACGAGGAATGTTTCGTACTCGACTTAATTGTTGGAAGACGAAAAAGATAGTGTGAAGGAGACTTCGATCAAGATTCTTTCCTCGTTTTGCAATATAATGTCTGCTCCGCTATCCGTCGAGCTGGAAGTCCCGTCCACGAAGATGGTCCATTTATGTGCTCCGCTCGTGGGGGAGGCTGGCAAGGTCATTTCTGCTACGAAGTCGACCAGTACTTATGCTTTAAGGGCTTTTCTGCTTTCGTATTTGATGTCGAACTCAGAGTTCTAGCGACCATTTGAGCGTTTTGCCCGCCATATCAGGCTGACCAAGTAACTGTCTTACCAGCTGGTTTGTTCGGACCACAATTGTATGGACTATGAAGTAGTATCTTAGCCTCTTTGTTGCATTAATGAGTGCTAAAGTTATTTTCTCTATTTACTATCTTACTTTAGGACCTTGCAAGGTCTTACTCGTGAAATAAATGAGTTTCTGTCCCTCGGGGATCTCCGAATGAGGGTTGCATTGACGGCCTCGGATGCCACGACTAGATAAAGGTAGAGAGTTTCTTCCTTGTCAGGTCGCAAGAGTACTAGTGGCTGTGACAGCGCTTGTTTGAGGTGGAGGAGGGCACGTTCGCACTCCTCGCACTAGTACAAAAAGATTAATGTACACCCGTTTTTTATTACATTTACACCTCGTATCCTGCAGCATTTTCCGGATTGAATATTAGCAGGTCTGGTGCTGGATAAGTGATAGATCATGCAATTCACAAAGAAATTTCAATGCTCTTAAACTTCGGTGGCTTCCACATTGCATGCATAATTTCCATAAAATTAGTACAACACTGTCAAAACTCAGATTCACACAAATAATTGAAACAGATTTCTCAAAAACCATGTTACATGTCTTAAATTAATCTAATGAATTTGAGTCCTTACACCGTAACCGCATGTCCGCCAAAAGTATATAGAATGTTGGTAGCTCCAGTGAAGTAAAGAACCAATTTGGTTGGGCCAGAGGGCTTCACATCCTCAGCCTTAAGTAAAGAAGTAAATATTTTATAGATTATACTACCTCATCGAATCTAAAAAACTATGTTTATAATCAAACCAACAAACTAAGAAGTTCAGTTTTATTCCAGACCTTAATAAAATTCAGTAGGGATAACATAAACTTACATTGGTAAAAGCTCAAAGTAAGGCCTCAAAGCTTTCTCCATTCCTTTCTGCACAAAGATAGTCCTCTCAGGAATTTCTCCCAAAAATAAACGCACTATAATGGCCCACTTGTTACACTGAATTCGAAAACTCTGTACTACAACTGGTGCTTTACGAGCAGCCTGTAGGAGAGACTCCTTTGCATCAGTATACTCCAACTGAATGGTCCGAATTTTCCCAAGGTAAAAGAGATAGCAACAGAACTAAAACAGATGCAACAGATGTAGACATGTCAAAAAAAGATGAATAAAAAGTGGATTTTCAAAAACAATTAATGAGACGAAATAAAAAAATAAAATGTAAAATCATCAAGAAAGTTCAGCACAAGGGTATCATTTCAAACAGTCCTTAGACTGTGACAACAGGTAGAGAAGGTGGAAACTGCATTCACCAAAGCAAAAAAAATCTGCGTTAGACCTCAACTTCTCTGCCTAACCATATAGGTTGTAGTAGAGATAGTTACGAAGTAACAAATTAAGAAGTGTTTCCTGCATCACATGATCCATAACCTTTATAAAAGGAACCACAAAGCAATTCAAAACCAACCTGACCAAGTTCATCATGGCGCAGGGTAGCAATCCAGTGCAACTGAAAGAGATTTCTGAAAATAAACATGACATCTGTTTAGAAATATGTCAAACCCCATTCAGTTGAAAATCTCACTAACTTGTATCAAACACATGTATTTGCACGCATATGTATCTGAATTGATTTGTTCTAAATTTACATAGACAAACATCTAACTTACCCACGAATTTCAGCAAGATCTCCAGTAAGCTCATAGCTAAACGAGTAATAAAAGTACAGCCTTGAGGCTATAACATCTACAGATCTTCTATTCAAGTTCTTGAGACGGTCAATGCTAGCTGAGGAACAAGCTTTGCCTAAAATGAACAATTAAAGCAAACCTCAGCATATAATAAACCATCAGTGATCAATTTACATAATAACATATTTGTTAACAGTATCTATTCTAACCTCTCCATATCGTTTCTGATCAATTGCAAAGCAGTGGGATATTCAATCATGTGTACGTAACTACATATTGCGGCCACAATATAAAGATTCTTAGAAGCTTAACATCAATTTAAAACCATGGTGAAATCTACGTAGAACAAGGAAAATGTTACCGTGGAGCCATCAATGCTATCACGATGGAATTCACAAGTTCTTCCTAGAGCAGAAACAGCAACATCACTTGTTGCGTTCTACACCCATGATCTGGTTTGTATTTCAAATCATTAAATCTATCAAATCTGAGTAAAAAAAGCAGTCCATCCTATACGGTTATCTGCATAAAAATTTCCACATCTTAGTATTGGTATTAAGAGCCTTGTTGAATAAGAGCACAGTTTGCTCCGCCTTGTCCACAAGCCCAGCTCAGGCCATCTTGCCTTGTATGCACCATCTTTAGCGACACAAAATACTCCCGATGAGTTTCCAGTTCCAGTTATCTGAACAGTAGCACCACCATAGCTCAAAGGATAAGCAGCACTTCCATTAGTAAACACAATGCCCCAATTTCTTTTTTGATATAGGTCCATTCCTCTTATCTTCATTAAACAATCCGTATATCTATGTATTAATTGGTATGTTTGGCTGACTCGGTGGACCGGAATCATTCAGGACCCGCTGAATAATATTATTACTGTAGGTCTTAGCATTTTCTGCAGTAGCATCGGGTTCATTTGCTCCACCAGAAGATGGCCAGCCAGTTTCTGTGACAACAACTAATATCATTCTACTTTTAAATTGTTTAACTTGTATTTGTACTCCACAAGTTAACAAGACTCGAAATATATAACTCCACTACATTCTATGTGATAAGAAGTGATTCATATTAAAATTTGATTTGAATTTGATATATTTTTTCAAACAGAAACAATCAATTAGCAACTCACAAAGGGCCTCATGGTTATTCAACTACCAGGCAGTTACATTTCACAACCACATAGTATTTCTATAACTAAACAAATTGAACCAATGAAGCACATGTGGTCCGGGTTTAGAAATATCCAATACAAGTTAACAAGAAACAAGATACAAACCTTCCCCGTGAGCATCTCAAACAGTAAGACACCTACGCTCCACCAATCAGCAGCCTTATCATGGCCCTTGCCAATAATAATTTCAGGTGCCGTGTACTTTAATGTACCACACATTGAATTAGATCTTGTACTTCCTTAAATTTTTTTTGCTAAGCCGAAATCAGTCAGCTGTCAGCATAACCTAGTATATGATGAACCAAAAAAATCGCAGTAAGATATTGGATGCACAAAACAGAGTTAAAAGTCAGTATTAAAAACATGAATGAGGGAGGACAGCAAATTACACGGCCATCGACATTCATAAGGATATTTTCAGGTTTTAGATCCCTGTGCATTATTCCCTTTGAGTGGAAATGGGAAACTGCATAAACAATCTTGGAAGCATATACGTGTGCAAGATCCTCTCTAAATATTCAAAGATGAAGAATATAACAAGACACTAAAGCTGCAAACTAAAAACTGAAACATTAGACACGAGAAGTCAGCTAAACTTACCTGAAAAGGCCTTGGTGATAAAGCTGAAAGAAAAGATGCCCATTCACGAAATCCCGCACAAGATACAATCTGTATTTTGTATGAAACAACATGTATCAAACATTTCAGTTCTATTTCAGAGACTACATTTTTTTGTAATCCAAATAACAAAAGAAAACCTTTTTTACAATTTACTATGAATACAATTTACTTGAGATTAAATTTTGGACAGCACATTCAATGACATACTAAAGTTTGAAAAAATGATTTCATTGGGAATTATAGGTTGTATGCAAATGTCAGACTTTGGATGAATAGTTGCAATTAGAGAAGTAAGTATTAGAACCTGCTAGGTCAAAAATACTGCTAGCATAAAAACCAACTCAATTGATTCCACCAAATTGCTACAATATACTGGAGGGTTTTCCGGAAACATGTTTCTTGTACAATATGCTTTGATAAATTTAAGCATATTAGGGGTGAATTGAGAAACTGTCCAAATAAATGCTTAGAATAAGCAATGTCCCAAATGAACATTCTAAGCACTGTAATTATGCATGCAGCATACCATTGCTTACACTCTGCCTCTTATTGTAAATCAATATATCAGTATGTAACAAATTTACAGACACCCAAACATCACATTAACAAAGTCAAGGAACAGTTGCTAAATGTTACATTGCTAATCCAAAATTCCAGATTACAGAATAGCTGTACTCATTACTCACCAATAATTGTATACCAAGATCCATTGGGTTTCTTTTAACAGAAACGAGTATATGTATAGAGTTTATTTATTTTTCCTTATTGAATGATGATTATTGCCCAGTAAATAGAAGAGAGCCCAAAAAGAGATATATTATAACAGACTTGAGCCAAGGGTAGGTTCATGTGATTATTCATAAATATAATAAAACTGTTCTTTCATCATTGACTTTCATCTAAAAATCTCAATAAAACAAACAAATAACCTTTTAAATGTTTATCTTTTAATCTTCGCTTTTTTTTCTTCATAAGATATATTACAACATCGTGGTGGCTCACCGTGATTTAGCCATTCTCACCGCAAATTCGAACACATGCTAAGCCATGAGAAAACATGTAAGAAGCATTTATCAAGCTTAACTACCACACCAAATGCAATGCATGCAGAGATCTTTTCAAAGAGAGTGAAGAAACTAAAACCTATAATTCCAAGTATGGTAACATTAAAAAATAGAAACAGACAAATGAATTAGGCTCACAAACTTAAATAATACAGTAGGGAAATAACAAAAAGCAGCAGTTAGACAAAAAAAAAAGTAGCTCCAAATCATCAATTGTTAGTCCCAAATACCACAAAACTAATAGGATGAACTATCATTGAAACAAACTACCCTAGTTAACAACAATTTAAAAATTTTATCTTACACTGTAGTGAAATCACAACAGTTGCAGCCATTCAATTTGCAGCAGTGACGACCCTGTTCGCAGCCATTCATATACAGAGCATAGCAATTATGGTTTAAGATGACATACAAATAGATCATGTGAATTGATATAGTTTAATGGTAGTTACACAGTTAACAAAGGGTGAACAAATAGATCATGTAATGGACTAAATCAATCTCATTCTAACCAACTCCCAAGCTGCAACATCTATATAGGGAACACATTCCGTTCTTCAACCTTGGATTCATTCACAATCTTCTATCACTCAAATCCCTCTCCAATACACTCACCCTTCATCTCTCATCTTCATTCCTCCAACCATCATCAACAACTCACAACAATCCTCACCTTCGTCTCTGTACCTCCCACCATCATCATCTTCACCTCAACCCCATCAACCTTACCTAACTTTTATCAATCTCCATGCAACCCCTCACTCTCCTCTATCCTCTATTCAACAATAACAACGATATAGCAATAACAATTCACAACAGGAAATTCAATAAGAAACTCGAAAGAAAACAGAAGGGGTAGAAGAAAACAGAAGCGAAAAAGCAAAAGAATATCGACTCAGAACTTTTATCGAATACCTGGCGTACGTAGTCGCGAAGCTGTAATTATGGTAACAATTCGATGCCGATTCATGAACCGTAACCTGCCACAACAACAAATAATAATACAACAGCAATTCCATAGCAGATAAATCGAAAGAAAAAGAAGAAGAATAAGAGAACTCGCGAATTCGCTGACGAGCATCTGCACATTACCGAATCAGTGTTGATTGCCGTAACCAAAGAATCACGAACAATTCGCTATTGTTGTTGTCGCGTGAGAGAAATATTCTCGCGTCGAAACCGTCAAAAAGCACTTTTGAAAAGCACTTATGAATGGTGGCATTCCTAACAGTAAACCAACAATTCCTTTTTTTTCTCACAAATGATTTTTTATGTAGTCTTTGAATTTTTAGAATTCAATTGTTATTTTTTTGGTGTTAGATTTTCACTTTAATTTTTCATATTTTTCTTTTTTTGATATTGAAATTTATATTTTACAGATTTAAAATTAGTTGTATCTCATTTTTTTTCTTCTTCAGATTTTTTCATTAATTTTTATTTTCGGGAAATGTCAATTTATCTCATTAAAAAATGAACAACATTTGTATAGAGATTTTGGTTTTTCTTTGGGAAAGTGTCAATTTCTCTCATTAAAAAATCAACAATATTTATATAGAGATATAGAAAAATGTGCAACTTGAGATCAGTTGTTATTATTTCAATTTTATCATTTTTGGTATGACTTTTTAACGTGTCTTATAAGAGTTATTATTTTTTATGATTGTTTTATCCAGATTTTAATGGAGCAATTTTGAATGAAAAGTATTGATGGCAACTAGAGAGCAAAGATTGTGAGGAATGGTTGAAATTGGACATCCAGTCAACAAGGATTATGAACAATGATAAATAATTTAAATTGTTTGTATTAATGTCTATCTCTTATTACTTTGTTTTCATCATTTATTCTCTTTAGAAAAAATTGTCCAGTCAATCAGGATTGTGAACAATGATTAATGATTTAAATTGTTTGTATTAATGCTACATTTTATTACTTTGTTTTCATCATTCATTCTCTTAAGAAAAATTGTGTCTTGTTGTTAACAATGATGTTCTTGACACCCGGTGTGATGTATGCTTAAATTGAATTAGAATTTTTTTTTGTAATATTTTACGATGTATTATGTTATAGAAATGTGAAATTGTTATTTTAACTATGTTTTATATATAATCTTCTATAGGTAAAGGGGATACACTCTTTCGGGTTGCCTGTTTTTTTTCTTTCGATTTTACCCTTAAACAATAGTGTGTGCACAAGTTATATAGTAGTTTAAAGAAGAAGAAAAATTGCATAATCACAAAGAACCAACTGTTTTATCCTATATTCTAAATTATAATTTTTAAAGATGTAGTTTTGTCTTCTTTTTTTTAAAGATACAGATTTATCCGTATAACAAAAAATTTATAAAAGAGGCGCACTAAATCAATAGAACTCTATTAATTTAATATCAGAAAATAATAAAATTATTATATAAATAATTCTACTAATTCTACTAATTGTGTTTAAATAATATTATTTTTAAAATGTGTCGTGCAATAAAAATCTCATTAAAAGATATATACAAGTTTATTTTTCTCTACTGTGCGTATTAAAAAAAGTGTCCGTTTGAACACTAGTATATATAATATATATGTATATAAAAAATAGGTGTTAACTGTGTAAAAAACAGCTGTCCACTATTACTTGTTTATATAAAAACAGATTTTATTTACGAATTTGTCATCGTGTTTGTTATATACACCCGTTTTTAGTAAAGAAATGGATGTAAATTTAAAAATTGTGATTTATAAATATGTTTAGGTTAATATTTTGAATTATAAAATTAAATAATTTTATTTAATCCATTTAAATTTACATCAGTTTTAAATTTAACGGGATTAATTGAGAATTAATTATAATAATATTTAAATTTACACTTGTTTTTAAAAAATAAGGTGTAAATTGTTAAATACTAATATTTAAAATGACACTTTATTTACAAAATTGCCACCATATTTCTTATTTACACCCATTTTTAATATATGGGGTGTAAATTTTAAAATTATATTCTTTTTTTTGCACTAGTGTTGGTCCATTCAAATGTTGCCTCTTTGCGAAGAAGTTTGAAAAGGGGAAGTGTGTGCTTAGCAGATTTTTTCATTTAGAATTTGAATTGATTTCTTCGAGTTCGGCGTTGGAAACTCAGAAAATTCCCGACATTTATCGGGGTTGGTTTCAATTCCTCGTTCTGTTAGGTAGAACCCGAGGAATTTGCCTATCCACACGCCGAATATGCACTTTTCTGGATTGAATCTCATTTTGCACTTCCTTGCCTGGTCGAAGACTTTCTTTAGGTGGAGCACATGGTCAGATTCCTCTTGGGATTTTACTATTATGTCGTCCATGTAAACGTCGAGCATGTCTCTAATTTCTCCTCGGAAGACCTTGTTCATTATCCGTTGATATATAGTGTCGGTATTCTTCAGACCGAAGGGCATTACGTTGTAGTAATAATTGTCTGATTCGATATGAAGGTCGTGTACTTTTTGTTTGTCTTCGCCACGGGGATCTGGTTGTACCCAAAATATGCGTCCATAAAAGACAGCAGTTTAAAACATGCAGAATTATTAATTAATTTATCTATATTGGTCAGAGGATAAGCATCTTTGGGACAAGTCCATTTGAGATCGGTATAGTCAATGCACATACGTCATTTTCTATTAGATTTCTTTACAAGTCTAACATTTGATAGCCAAGTTGTGTACTGGGCTTCACAAATAAAATTTTCCTCTATAAGGTCTTTTACAACTTGTTTGGCAGCCTCTATTTTCTCTGGAGACTGCTTGCGCCTACGCTGGGAAATTATCTTAAGGGCATGATTTATTGTCAACTGGTGACATGTTATCTCTGGATTCAATCCGGACATCTCTGTTGCGCTCCAGGCAAACAAATTTGCATTATCCCTCAGGCATGCCCTCAGTTGTCTCCTAGCAAAGTCGGGGAGACCGATACCGATTTTGACTCCCTTAGTGGGATCTCTACCGAGGGGGATGATTTCGAACTCCCCGTCAAGAATTGGGCGCAAAGGATGTGTGGGATCTTCATCACTTGTCGACGAGGACGAGTTTTCCGCGGTCGGCTAGGCCTCTTTCCCCTTCTTCTTCTGCTCCCGCAGGTCTTCTTTGTGGCAGCGATTTTGGCTCCTCTAAGCTGCTGGGTGTTGGCTGAAGATTTTGATAGTGTTATTTAGAATTCAAAAAGAGCTAGAAGTTCTGATCAAAATGGAATTAAAACACCACGCTTCGAAATTGCAGAAGCAGTGTTTCGAATGAGTGTGTCAAAGCTTGAAGCTTCGAACGGTGATCATGGGAGCGTATCCAAAGGGGTCTCGAAACAGCAGCGAAGCTAGGTCTGAGAAGAGCGTTCGAAACAGAGAAACACCAAAGCATTTAAAATTTAAATGAAAGCGGGACTTTCAAAGTTTGAAAGTTATGTGTTGGAGCATTTGGGGACACGTGGAAAGATGAAAGAAGCATTGTCTTGCATGTTCGAAACGTGGCATGATCTTGTAGCGAGACCGTTAGGGTCGAATTAGTATAAATAGAAGTCTTAGTGTTAGGATTTCAGTGTGTCATATCTGTTATACAAAATACTCAATAACATTCAAACTACCACATGGCAAGGGAAACGAATGCAAGAGAGATGTATGTATGATAGCACCATGTATTTCTAATTTAATAAAAGCCTTTTTACTATTTCCAGCACTTTCCTTCTTTTTCTTTCTGTCGAATAACATTTGCAAGTTTCTTTATCTACTGTCTTTTCATTTCAAAGTCTTTTCTTCAAAGTTTTACATTTTACTGCTTTCTTTATATTTCGAGCACTCTATATTTCAGAGAACTTTTACGCTCTCAATACCTTTACTTTCAAGTATTATTCTTCAAACATGTACTTTCACTTAAAGTCATTTCTAGATTTCTTGCATTAAACGCTTTCTTCACATTTTAAACTTCCACATTCCAGAAACCTTTTATGTTAAATGTTTTATGGGTCGAAACCAGTTACTTCATTTTCCATACAGTTTTATATGTCTTTTCAATCAGCATTACAATTAGCAATTATTCGTATAACTTAGTTTTCACATACATTTTGACCACATTTTTAAACTCTTAGAGAGAGGGATCGAAATAAACCAAACATTTGTACAATAGCACCCATGAATAATTGTTCGATTGTGAGAGTAACCTTAATATCCAAGGAGTCCTAGGATCAATCTAGTCGATCCTGTGAGTTACCAAAGAGATTGAGTAGCGTTAATAAAGATTATTCGATAGTTTGGAAGACTAGCGGTTGTTTACCAGAAATCACTGGAAACAAATTGGCACACCTGGTGGGACCAATAGTTGGATATCAGAATTAAGGATTGTCGAGACATAGCCATCCCAGAAACGTAGGAACCTAAGAAGTTTGCTGTTTTATGAACCTGAGAAGTGGTAAGATAACCAACAGCAACCAACCTTTATCCAGAAGAAAACGTTTGGACAAAATGTCTAATTCAGACAATCAACAGGGAGACCAAGGTGGCCCACAGGCAACAGGCACTAACGCGTCCATTTCGAGCGGAACATCTAATGTAATCCCTTCGAATGCACAGTCTGTTGCATCTTCAACCAGTAACATGGCCACCAACGGAGTAAGTGGCATATCAACCAACAGTTCGATCTTAGGAAATACTGGAACTATGGGCTACCCTGGGGGATTCGTTCCGCCACCTGGGACACAATCCCATTTCGCCACTCCATCAACTAGACCACCCGGCTTCGATGGGAATAGAATTAGAAGTTCTTCTTACGGAATGCCAACATCTTTTATGGCAGGTTTACACAATTCCACATCGAATTCATCCCCACAACTAGGATCTGGGTCTGGGGCAAACCAATTTATGTCAAATAACCAAGGGTCAGTGGGTTATAGCACGTTGCCTATCCTAACCACAGATAACCAGTTGGCTTTTAGGCAATTGATGGATGACAGCAACCACAATATGATAGGGGTGTTAGCGCAAACCATGCAGGAAATATTCGCCCCAATAGTTCAGAATGTGACTGTGACGAACAGGGAAAACGCTGACAATATGAGTCGAATAGCAGATTTCTTTGCTCCCACAGAAAGGCGTAGGCAGAACCAGGCGGGATTTCGAACAAACGTGCCTGTTATAGAACAAATTGCCAACGACCCAATTCATAGACCACCCAGAGAAGAGGTTAACTTAGGGGCCAGAGCACCAAGGTTAGAAGCCCCAATAATTCCGGGCCCACAAAGGGAAGTTATGGAACCAGGGGCAAGGATCGAAAGACCAGAAGCCCCAGAATTCCGAGGAGAACAACCTAGGGGAGTTGTTTTGGTTGGTCGAAACCAAGATGCCGATGCTGTCGTTCATAGGATTCGAAACGATAACATCTTGGCAGAAAATAATCTGACCACCATGATAGAGAGGATCATGACTCAAAACGGCCTCAATATGGGAATGAGGAGGCCAAATTACGCTTCTCCTATATTAGATTGTATAATGCATACTGATTTACCAAGGGGATACAAAGTCCCTAAATTTACAAAGTTCGCTGGGGATACCAACGAGTCAACAGTCGAACACATAGCGAGATATTTAACCGAAGCGGGGGATATAGCCAATAATGAAGATCTCAGAATCAAATATTTCCCAAGTTCCTTGACAAAAAATGCCTTCACTTGGTTTACCACGTTGCCTCCTGGGTCTGTTGACACTTGGACCCTTTTAGAGAGATTATTCCATGAACAATTTTACATGGGACAATCGAAAATAAGTCTGAAGGAATTGGCCAGTGTTAAGAGAAAGTTCACTGAACCCATTGATGACTATTTGAATAGATTTAGGCTGTTAAAA